TACTTTTTTTTTTTTTTTTGGTGCTGGTGTTGGGGCTTGAACGCAGGGTCTTGTGTTCTTACTGGATGTTTTCCATTCCAGGCTGACTCTCTACCACTTGAGCCAGACCTCCAGCATTTTGCTGATGAATTAGAGATAAGAATCTCATGGAATTTTCTGCTCAGGCTGGCTTCAAACCTTGATTCGCAGATCTCAGCTTCCTGATTACCTAGGATTACAGTTGTGAGCCATCAGTGTCTAGTGAGACTTTCTTGCTACTGTATTTTACCTGACCCAAATCAACTATCTTGACTTCTTACTCATCATTTTTCTTAAAACAAATCTTGCACTAGGTTATTTTAAATGGAGATTGCATGGTTTGTGATGAGAAAAATCTAAGGTCCTCTCTTAGGGGGCAGAAGGCCACTTCATAGCTTCAGAGGCTGGTGGAGATTCCTTTGTCAGGAGGCTAAGTGAGCCTGGCTGGATGGCTGTAACTCCTGCCTGCATTGTAGGGACAACTCTGTGGTGGTCAAAGGTGAATTTGGTAGCAGATTCAATATTTGACCACCTTTGTGTGTAGTTGTGATCAGTAACCTATTTCTGTTTCATAAGATATTTACATGGGAGTTGGTTGGCTTCTCTATCACTTGTAATAATTTTGACTTTATTATTATTTTTGTCTGATGTAAAGATTTTTCATGAATTTTTTTTTCTATTGATAGTTTATGGTAGATTAACACCGAATCCCAGTGTTCAGGCTCAAAGCTCTGATACAGTCTTCATACTACGTTGGTTGAGTTTCTGGCATAAAAGAAATACTGAATAGATAACAACTGAACGAGTGTTTCTGAGAGAATTTAAGCCCCCAAATGACCCATATCCCATAGGCTCTGGTTCTTAGGCTCCTGTTAGTGGATAATATACCATGCCCTACCCCCACCCTCACCCCTTCTTTCCCACAGAAGTCATGGATCCTTCTGCATATGTTTCTATTTGGAACATTCTATGCAGTGTATAAACTGCCCTGTGTAATTAGGGTGATGGTAGAATGAATTTCATGCTACTTGTGCTACGTGTGTGTGAGTGTATGTGTGTGTGTGTTTGCTCTCTTGCTTTTTCTAAGCAGGAGTCACCTACTTATTGCCCATTTTAGTAACTTACAAGGAAGTTTTTTTTTTGACCTGTCCTGGGGCATGAACTCAGGACGTGGGTGTTGTCCCTGAGCCCCTTTGTACTCTAGGCGAGTGCTCTACCACTTGAACCACCATGCCACTTCTGCTTTTTTTTTTTCTGAGCACTTTATGGAAGCTGGAATTTTCAAGGCTGGGACACTTAATAGATTATCTTAAGTTTTATGTTGTCTTAAAATGTTAAGTTTTGCTAGGTAGTACATGTGTATAATGCTAGCACAAAGGAGGCTGAGGTGAAGAATTGCGAATTTGAAGCTAGCCTGGGTTACGTAGAGTTCTAGGCCAACATAAAAACAAAAGAAAGTCAAATGCTGGTGGCTCACATCTGGAATGTATTTGCATTCTTTTTTTTTTTTTTTTAAGAATGTAGCTTGAACTGGATCAAGTATGTATTTTATCAAAACATGCTAGCATTGGCTTTTGATGATCCTGCCTTCTCTTTCATGTCAACTGGTGAGCGCAGATGAAGAGCCAGTTTTCAGAATGGGCCTCTGCTTTGTGACATGGTGTTTGCTGTTGTAATGAGTTCCTTCAAAGGCAAGGATGAGCTGCCTTTGGCTGCTGATTCTGGATTTTGGTTCTGTAATTGTTTCTTTTGCCACACATTAGCCATTTCAGTTTGATGCAGTCTATTGCTTTTGTTTTATGAGCAATTGAAGTCCTTTGGAAAGTAATTACCTGTGCCTGATTCTTCCATAGTTTTCCTTATAGTAGTTTCAGAGTGTCAGATGATAGTTATATATAGACCTTTGGTATAACTCATTTTTTTCCCCCTCATCAAGCCATTCTAGTTTGTGGAAGCGGAAAGTGAAGTAACATACATATATGATATGAAAGTCCTAGAAAACAGTGCAAAGTTTGCATGATTGCTTGCCTTAGGAAATGAGGGTGGTTTGTGTCTACTTTACACTTGGATAGGGAAGACAGTCCAGATCTCTTGCGTCGACCTGATCATTGCAGTGTAAGACAGGACAAAACCATTGATTGATTAGCTTTAGAAGGTATACACCATACAGCATTTGCCTGAGGGAACTGGGGTTCACATAGCAGCTTATAAGTGAACATCTACTGGAATGTTAGCATAATAGACAGTGTAAACAGAGCTGGAGCTTGGTGGCAGAGTGCTTGTCTAGAGATAGGCCCTGGATTTGAACTCCAGCTGCTCCAGAGGAAAAATGAGAAATAACCCAAATGTCCATCAACTAATATATGTATAAACTGTGGTATAGCATGCATATATATATATATATATATATATATAGTGTAATATTATTCAGCCATTAAAAGGATTGAAATAGGGGTAGTAATTCAGTATGAATGAACTTTGGAAATATTATGTGAGGTAAAATAAGCCAAAAACAAAAGATCACATACATATTGTATGATTCCATTTATAGGAAATGTCCACAATAAACCAAGACAGCATGGAGATTAGTAATGCTGAAGGAGGGCAGTGCTTGGTGGGGAAAGGGATGGGTAATGACTGCTAATGGGTACAGAGTCTTTCTGGTATACAGACTGGTGATAGCTATACAACACTGAGAAAATGAGAATTTGGCACGTTGATTATGTCTGCACAAAGCTGTCAGCAATATCAGGTCACATCTGAAAGTATGAGGCTCTTGGGGAAAATTAAATGAATGGAAGAACACTTAAAGTACCTAGGGAGTAATGGCTGGGGTGTAGTATATACTCAGTGAATGGTTGTTACTGCTGCTCTTAGATGCAGCAATTTCAGTAAATGATGCTTCCTTATCTATCAGTAAGGTGGAGCCTATGTCACATTACATATCTACTAATACTTTGTGTGGGCCTGTTGGGTTTTTCTTGGCACTGGTGTTTGTTGTTGCTTTTTTTTTTTTAAATGTCAGATCTTGCTGTGTGGCCTAGGGTGACCTCAAAGAGGAAGATCTTGCTACCTAATCCTCTTTAGCGCTGGGTTTACAGGCATGTGCACCCATCTTGAGCCTGTGTTTTGGGATCCTTGTCCAGTGGTGGAAATTGAGTGATCCAGAGCTCCTCACAACCTGTGTACAGTGCCTTCCTTTGGGGATAGGAATGTAGACTGAGCCTGTAGAAGAAGGCCGATCCCAAATATCTGCTGATATGATTTTGAAATGATTCTTGAGCTCCTCTTCCTCCCCTAGTTCTATAACTCTGTGTTGAGTTTCCTTGAGAACTTAACTGGCTTGTGAGACTGTGGTGCTTAATGTTTTATTATCAGCTCACTGGAGAGCTGAGGGCTTCATTGCTGAAAATATGCAGTTCTGAGAAATAGTGCAGACTTAAACTTGTTCTGCGGCGCTCACGGCAGTTTCTATGTATAAGACATTGTTATTTTAAGTTAAGATAGAAGCAGTTTTTCACTGAATTTTTTTGTTTGTTTTGAAATAAAAATTCCTGTCTTTTTATGAACTTGTCAGTCCATTAAAGAATGCTGAGCTGCTTTTTCAACAGGGTCATTGGGGGTATTATGTATTCCCATTGAAACTCATGCAAAGAAATAGTGTGTTCTTATGGCATACAAATACCAGTGATGATTACTCAGTTACAAAGAGAAATGAAGTCATGTTTTTTGGAACTGGAGATCATCATGTTGAATGAGATACGCCAAGGGTCCAAAAACCAAATAGTGAATGTTTTCAACCTTTTACAGAATCTAAACTTTAAACACACACACACACACACACACACACACACACACACACACACACACACACACACACACAGAATTTGACTGTAACTATGGGAATATTTGAAAGGACTAGGGAAACAAGTCTGTAAAGAGAAAGATGGAATGGTGGATAATACTGAAATGTATTATATCGGTTGGGAATGTGGCTTAGTGGTAGAGTGCTTGCCTCGCATGCATGAAGCCCTGGGTTCGATTCCTCAGCACCACATAAACAGAAAAAGCTGAAAGTGGCACTGTGGCCCAAGTGTTACAGTGCTAGCCTTGAGCTGAAAGGCTCAGGGACAGTGCCCAGGCCCAGAGTTCAAACCCTATGACTGACTAAAAAAAAAAAAAAAAGAAAAGAAAAGAAATCCAACTCAGGGACCAAAAAAAGAGAGCAATAGAAAGAACTATTTTCATTAAATGTACTATGCACATGTGAATACCATGGTGAAACACCTTGGCATAATTAATATACACTAAGACAAGCTCTGTTGGAAGTGAATGTCAGTGAGAAGGTGATGAGGGTGAATATAGCGGAAGTACTTTATTGTTGTTATTGGTTGTGGGGCTTGAACTCTGGGCCTGGGTACTGTCCCTAAGCTCTTTAGCTCAAGGTGAGTGCTCTACCATTTGAGCCACAGTGCCACTTCTATCCTTTTCTGTTTATGTGGTGCTCAGGAATCAAACCCAGCGACACATGCATGCGAGGCAAGTACACTACAACTGAGCCACCTTCCCAGCCAGTTGGAGTACTTTAAAAAAATTTTTTTTTGGTTGGTAATGGATCTTGGACTCAGGGCCTAGGCCCTGTCCTTGAGCTTTTTTGCTCAAGGCTAGCGTTCTGCAACTTTGAGCCACAGCTCCAATTCTGGTTTTCTGGTGGTTAACTGGAGATAAGAGTCTCACGGATACTTTCTGCCTGGTCCAGCTTCTTGAACTGCTATCTTCGTGTGAGCCACTGGCGCCTGGCTATGCCTCATTTTTACAAAAGTTATATAGCTCAGGCTGACCTGAAACTTTAGTCTAGGCTGACCTTTAGCTTATAATCATCCTACTTCAGTCTCCTGAATGGTGGGATAATATATATATGTGTGTACTACAGTTCTTCTGGAAATCATCTTGAATGTTTCTTTTTCCTTTTCTCTAAACAGAAGTTGGTGACATGGCAAAGCAGTACTTGGAGAAAGGTCTTTTGGTTCCAGATCATGTGATCACACGCCTAATGATGTCAGAGCTGGAGAACAGGAGCGGCCAACACTGGCTGCTAGATGGTGAGTAAACTGTGGTAAGTTGGATTTCAGGGAAGAATTGGTTTTTGTCTCTCACGTCCCCTGCCTTCCCTTCCTGTCACGTTAATACTGGGGCTTGAGCTCAGGCCTCATATTTGCCTAGCTGAGTCTTCTAGAACTCAGCCTTAGCTGAGGAATTTGTATAGGTATAAGCTGCTGGCACCTAGCTACTTCCTTTTTTTCTTACAGACGAGAAACCTTTTCCCTTTAAATCTTCTGTCGTGTTAGCGTTACAATTTAACACATAGACACAAGCCTGGTGAGGCCTGTTCATTCTGAGTTTAACCAGATGTGAGCCCTTGACTGGACACCATGGCCCAGGTTGCACGGTACTATTGGTTTTTATGACTATCACCCTACAGATAATTCATCTGAGATTAGAGGTCTTTCATTCACTGGGGGCAGCATAAATTACAGCTGTGAGTCATCGTTTGTCACATGGGAGAGGAGTGAAGAGAGTACTCTGAGCAGCTTTATGGAGTACACAGGAGACAAGTGTAACATGGGTAGCCCTTGGGAGCAGATGAGTGATGGGTCTGCTCTTTGATACAGTGATTCCATCTTTGATATTGTGATTCCATTCTGCATTGCTGCCTGAAGATGCACTTCCAGGGATGTTGATTTCTACATCATTCCCAAATGGCAAGAATCCACTTCTGCTTTTGAAAGGCTTTCATCTCAAGAAGGAGCAGAAAATTAGATACTGACTCTAAGAGAATCCTTTTTTTTTTTTTGAATTGTGAAAATACCATACAAAGGGGTTACAATTACATGGGCAAGGTAATGAGTACATTTCTTATGAAGCATTGTTGCCGCCTCCTTTGTTTCCCCTTACTATCCCTTCCCATCACCTCCTCCCACCCCCTTACCCCCTCACCCCCCACGCCAAAGATGTATAGCTCATTTTTGACATAAGATCTTGTACATCTCATTGGTGCAATGGGTCCACCTGTATCCCTATTTAAACAATTTGTTTTTTCCCTTCCCCTCCACAAATTATACCAATATTAAATACAGTGAAAACAAGGGTTATACTGTGGGGGAGGGACATACAAAGCAACATAGAAATATATTATAAATATGTTAGACACAATAGCAAGAAAGAAAAAAACATTTGAGTCCTTAACTTGGGGTTCATTTCGCTTAACATCAACTTATCTGACCATTTCTGCTTGTCTCAGACATATCCTGTTTGTGTGGTGCTCTGAAAACACAAAGAAGAAAATTATCTCTTGTACTACTGATGGGAAGGAGGGTTGGATCAACTTTATGAAAGAAATGAATGGAGCTGGGTGCCTGTGGCTCACACCTGTAATCCTTGCTACGCAGGAGGCTGAGATCTAAGGGTTGTGGTTCAAAGCCAGGCGAGGCAGGAAAGTTCATGAGACTCTTATCTCCAGTTAATGAACAAAAAAGCCAGAAGTGGTACTGTGGCTCATGTGGTAGAGTGCTAGCTTTGAGCAAAAAAGCTCAGGGACAGCACCTAGACCCCTGAGTTCAAGCTCTAAGACTGGCACAAAAAAAAGAGAAGAAAAAGAAAAAGTGAATGAGTGAATGCTCCTCAGGTGGATAAAAAGGGGTTGGGAAGGTGCTTTTTGGGGGGGCAGGGCATAGTGTCTCTATGTACAGGATAATAGACATTTTGTAGTTACTTATATTTTTGATGGTATTAGAGTTTGAATTCAGGGCCTTGCATTTATTAGTCAGGCTCTCTACACTTGGGCCACCCTTCCTATACTAACCTAACACTTTTGCAGCTTGCAAGCAAAAGGAGGCAGGGGCAAGCTTGAGGTGATACGATTTTGATGACGTATGTTAGTTGTCATGCTGCGTTGATCATCATCTTTGAAAAACAAGGGAGGAAGTGTTGATTTGGGTTCATGATTTCAGACATTTCAGTCCATAGGGCTTATTAGCACCTTTGGTTCTGGGCCCATGATAAGACTGAATGTTATAGTGGTAGAGAATGTGTGGAATAACAGGCTGCTTACCTCATGATGGACAGGAGAGAAAGATGGGGGGAGTGGACCAACAACAATAACAACAAGGAAGAGTGTGGAGAGGAGGAAGGAAAGAGGAGGAGGAGAAGTAGAAGGAGGAGAAGGTAGAAGGGCTGGACTAAGGACGAGGTATAACCTTCAAAGGGTTCTTTTCCAGGCTGGGAAGATGGCTCAGTTGGTAGAGTGCTTACCTTGAATGCATGAAGCCCTGGGTTCGATTCCTCAGTACCACATAAGCAAAAAAAGCCAAAAGTGGCCCTCTGGCTCCAGTGGTAGAGCCTAGCCTTGAGCTGAAGAGCTGAGGGACAGTGCTCAGGCCCAGAGTTCAGGCCCCACAACCGACAAAAGAAAAAAAAAAGTGATCTGTTTCCTCTAACTAGGACCTAAAGCTTACAGACTCTTCCAAAATAGTGGCACTGGCAGAGGAGCATGCATTTAACCCACGGACTTGTGGGGGACATTTCACATTTAACATAGTGAAACTGGGAAAAAATTAGGAAGGATCCTAATGTGATTGGATTGAACTCTCCAAAAGACTATTCAGTACATATTACAGGAGAGACTGGGGGCTGGCATAGGGTGGAAGATGTCAACTAAAAGCCAAGTAACACTTCTTTAGACTAACTGTAGTAACTAAGAGATGTCCTAGAATTAATAGAAGCTATAGCAGTGGTGTGGCAAGGAGGTCCCATCCCTGGAGAATAGCAAGAAGGGAGGTTGACAGGTCTGTGATGGAGGTCAGGTGCTGCTGCTCTAGGCAGTTAGTCTTCATTGTCATCCTCTTCAGTTTCTTGGCTGGCACTTCTTCAGGCATGCTGATTTTCCAAACCATGCCCTGAAATCACAGAAAGTTAACTCCCTGATACTTTTTAAGGGGATACCCAATATTTGGAGATAGCTTTAAATTCATAGTACGCCTGTGTCATCTTCTCCAGTTGAGGATTGTAGATACACAATACTATGCCTTGATCCCTGATACTTCTGTTTTTCTTTTTGGTTGGTCATGGGGCTTGAACTCTGGGCCTGAGCGCTGTCCCTCAGCTCTTCAGCTCAAGGCTAGCGCTCTACCACTTGAGCTACGGCACTACTTCCCCCAATACTTTTTTTTAAAAAATCTTTTTGCAGTGACTAATACGTTTTACCACTCCCTCACAACAATTTCTTTAGTTTAAGTTCTTCAATCGTGAGGCTTCTTGAATCTTCTAAAATGAATTAGTGTAGTTTTAGTGAACCTAAATCCATGTTAAGAAGGGTCAGCTGTGTTGAGCTTTTCTGGAGAGGGGTTTAATGTAGTCACCACGGAGGTGGCCTGGTGTCAGAAGGCTCAGCTGAACCCCAGCCCCTGCACTTCTTGGCAGTGTGTGGCCCCGAGGTGTATACCTGATCTCTCTGAGCCTCTGGTTGCTCATGGCAAGGCTCAGGAATGCATTTGTAAGGATGGAGGGAATGACTGTATGTCCAGGGATTCGAACTGAGTGTTGACTACGTACAAGAGCCAGGCAATTCTGTCATTCTTTGTCTTTCCTGGTGTGCTTGTCCTGGATTTCTGGGAAGGTATTAAGTTCAAAATTAGTTTTTGAAGTATGCAGTCCTGCAGAATTGACAGGTCAATCAGTGATGGAATGTTTCATGTGTCTTTCAAGGCTAACTCTTCCTCTCAGGGTAAAGAATTTTATTTCTTTTACATCATGGGCCTGTTTTTAGTAAAGTGCGTCACTCTCCCGACTGATTTGGTTTGCACTGCTTTCTCCTTGCAAACCCATCTGGTCACTTTCAGTGTGATTTTTCTTTAAAGCTCTGGAGTCAATCCATTTGGCAAAGGTTGGATGTACGGAATGACAAATGCCTAGTGCCGGCGTTCAGCTTTAGACTCCTTATGTTACAGGGCATATGCTGATGCGCTCTGCAGAGGACGTGCCTGTGAGTGAGCTAAAGGTGACTGAATGTGGAAGGGTTGAGGAAGGAATTCTGGATGACAGATGACTCATCATCGTGGTCCATATGGCCCTGGAGAGGCATTCTATGCTAATGGTGGGTGGGAATGAGCCAGCATGGTAGACTCAAGCCAAGGGAACCCAAGTGGGGGTGGGGGATGGGGAGTGCTCTGGTGTGCTCAGCTCTGTTTTTCTACACAAGTTTAGTGTGTGTGTGTGTGTGTGTGTGTGTGTGTGTGTGTGTGTGTGTGTGTGTAAGGGCAGGAGATTGCAGTGTACAGATATTACAGTTTAGTTATAAAATCATGTTCCCCATTGCACAGAGTGTATTCACTGTTTACTAGATCATCTGAGGTGGAACAGTAACTGTAAATAACTTGCTACTTAGCAGATAGGCTGAGGTATAGCTCAGTGGTAGGGAAGCTTGCTTGGCAGGCTCCAGGCCCTGGATTCAGTCCCAGCACTGACAAACAAACAAACAAATTAGAAATACACATGTGGAAAAGTCTTTACTTTAAAAAAATGAGGTTAGTAGGGTGACGCCAGCAGGAGGGTATGTTGGGAAGAAGTTTTTTATTTCTGAACTTGATTGCCAACCTGTGTGGTTAAATAGGACCTCGTGGGAGCCTTCCCCTCAGCTCTAATTTTGTAGAGCTAAGTATCAAAGAAAATTTTTATATTTGGTGCACTAGTTCATTTCTGTGGCTGTCACAAAAGACCCAAAGCTGAGTAATTTGTAAAGAGAAAAGGTTTATTTAGCTCAAAGTTCCAAATGTCCTAGAGTGTGGCGAGACATTCCTTACCACAGCATTTCAGGGCTGACACCACAGGTAAGTGGTAAGAGAGCCAGAGCCAGGGGAGGGCTGCCCTGCTCTGTGACTCTTTATGAATGATACTCTTTATGAATAAACCAGCCCTGCTTCCAAATTAATCCCTTTCAAGACCATGGCCTCCCACTAGACTTCACTTCTTAGAAGGTCCTATACCTCCTCCCCTCACTACATTCCCATACTGACCCTTTGGAGGAGACAAAAATCATATCCAAGTC